TTCCAGTTCCTGTCCTTTTTTCTTCTGCTTAGTGAAGCTGTAAAAGATGTTTTTTGCACTCTGTTTCCCAACTGAATTGTGCCTGGAGTGGACAGAATATTAAATAGATTTGAGTACCTTTTTCTAGGACATCTCTACTGAGTACTAGATGCAGGCTGCTTTTCTTTTGGGGAAATTATCATTTGGCCAGCTATACATTACTCTGAAGATGACAGAAGGCACCTGCTTGACACGAATGATATCTGCCAGATTTCAGTTTGCAGAGCCAAGTGATGACAGGACTCAATACAAATCCAAAGAGACAGTCACCAGAAATCTTTAACAAGGGAAGGCTAAGATGTATTTCCTTAGCCTACTTGCAAAAATACCTAGAAGTTTGGAATGACATTTTCCAAAAGCATACATCAGACATTTCACATGTAAGATTTTAGTCCAGTACTTATAAGTAATGAAGCTATTAGCTGAAGTCTTTCCTAGAGGGGAAAGGCCTAGACAATCTTAAAAATAGGCAGTGCCCCCCAACTTGCCTGGGTGACAGTGATCTGTAGGACAAGGGCCTTTGCACCTCTCAGAAAAAGCAGTAAATGTAGTTCTTGTGACGGCTAACACAATGCACTGAACCTAAGGCACATGCCACAGGGCAGGGATATGCTAACATTGTTTGCAGCTGCTAAGTTCACAGTAATGTGGCTTGGTCCAAAGCCTTGCTTACAGTGGGAATTTAGCCACTGTTGTGTGTAAACTGGGTCTGGAGGTTTGTTCTGGCATACAGATTGACCCTCTGGCAAAAAATAAAAAAATAAAAAACCTAATGATATTTTCGTTCAGAAACTCCATGTTAGACTTACATCCTGCTTCCAGACTTAGTTCTTGGCTCAGCCAAAATCGGAAGCCAAAAGTTCAGGCCAAAGTGAACTATTATATAACCTGGAGATGTTTCTCTGCTAAGATGATAACTGACAGCATTTTTAATTGAGCTTAATTTTCAATGCTCAAAGAGCCATAAAAGTGAAGAAAGCTGAAGTTTTTTTTTTTTTTTTTTTGATAAAAGACTCTAGGTACATCCTTGTGCAGATTATTATACAATGACTTGATCAGAGCCCCAAAGCTCTGATGCAGGAGCAAACACAGGCTTTTCAGGGTAGCAGACTAAGGTGTAACAAGAACAAGTGTCTGATAGTTGAAGCTAAGCTTAGAAATAAAGAAGAAATGTAGTGACATTTCTTAAAAAGTGAAGGTAAGTAAGCTTTTGAAAATAAAGTGCTGTTCTGGATCCTTTCTCACTAGCACCTGTCAAGCCTAGATGCCTTCCTAAAAAAATAATCTGGAATTGAAGTAAAATTAATTTGAGGAGCAATAAAGTAGAACCACAAACCCTAAACTGCAGTGATTTTTTCTCAAAACTTCCTACCACTGCTAACTACAACTACTTGCAAGAGCTTTTAAAAAAAAAAAAAAAAAAGTGCCTGTATTTTCATTCTACAGCTGCTTTAACATTTGTTTTGCCTAACCTTGTTGAGGGTTGCCAAATTAGCTCCCACAGTACCATTAGCTACAGGTGCCAGGTCTATACAACATCTCTCAAACTTGCAAATGGTGGAGCTGGCTAGCCTAGATTCAGTCCAGGAATTAAGGATTTAAGACTACTCTTTTGAGGCAAAACAGCCAAAATTCTCACTTCCTTGCTTAGGCATCAAAATTCAGTTAGGGAACAAGATGGACAGAGCCCCTTAATCAGAGCCAGCAGAAATAGCTGTCTTCTTCCCCCTTCCCATAGCACAGTTCACCCAGGGAATTCCCTGTGGCTTATTTTACAGTAAGTAGGAACTCTAACCACATTGTGGCATGTGTAGTTTTAAATACCTGGAATTACTTTTTGCTCAAGCTCATACAGTAAATCAGTAGCAGACTGAGAATGATACTCAAGGATGAGGGACTAACCATCACACACTAGTAGGGTAGGGGAAGGAGATCTTGAATTCTGGGCTGGCAAAGCATAGCCACCAGATGCTGTATTACAGCCACACAGAACCTGTGGAAATGGGTGACTAGTCCTGTATTCACAAGCAAAGGGCATCCTTCTGATCCCAGGGAGCTATTGGAGGTGGTTCTGTGTAGGATCAAGCCCATGCCATTTCAGAAAAGCAGAAACAGCAGCGATATAAGCCTCCCTTAATTTGTTCTCTCTGACTAACACCCTGTTCCTCAGAAGGACTCACTGAGGGCCTATTATGAGCAGGGTGAGGAAGTGTTTGATGTGGTAAACAAACATTCCCAGCCAGAGATGCTCTTCAGGAAAGCAACACATCTTTAAAACAGCTCTTTTCTGATGGAATTCGGTAGGAAGCGCAAGGAGTTCAAGCCTGTTCTGTTTTTGACTAGTGAGTTACTACCAGGTTTGGTATTTTCACTAAATCACTATCTATTAAGATCATTTTACTCCACCAAGAACAGAGCACGCGCCTCTAAATATTTACGAGGGAGTTGCTCCCTTCAGTTTCATTTAGAACAGAGTCAGTTCAAAGACTGGCTCTCCAAATGGCCTGCTCCTTCAACATAACTATTTCTTGCTTATCCATCTGCTCATTTTGTTAAGATAACAAGGCATCTATCCTACTAGCCATGTGGCGCTGACTCCTCTCTGCCACGTGCATTAGTTACTAGGGATGCTTGTTAGCAGAATCCTTGCTGGGAATGCGAGTCTCAGAAAGAGCTGCTGGATATTCAGAAGCCCAGTTGGGTTTATGGAATTGGCAGGATTTATAGGACTCTCTTTTTTTAAAACCAATTTGTGAAGCAAGTCAGTATGAAATGATTAATATACATAAGTATCCTGACTGCTCCTCATTTTCAGAGTCATTTTTATGATTCTAACAGGAAATATCAAGTGGTAAATAAACAGAGGCACTGAAATCCCCCTCTGGTTGGTCCAAAAGGCAGCATCGCAGAACGTGAAAGGCTGGATCAGATTGGCAGTGTGCAGAGAGCTCCTGCCACTGCTGTACATGCTACTGGTCAGCAGATAGAGAAGGGAAGCCAGTTTCCAGGGCTGTGAAGCCAGCAATAAATTTACAGAGCCTTTTTTTTTTTTAATAGCGTTGAAAAAATGAAGAAAAACAAAGCACAGTCATTTCAAGCTCCATTAGAAACTGAATGAAAAAAAAAATCAATGTTTGACAAATGGAAAGGGACAAATTCTGCGTGAGGAAATGCTATTGAGCTTTTAAAAATGTATGTGTTTTCCAACAGACAATCAAACAGCTAGCCCTGGGTGCATTGCAGTCACAATTTTGACACTTCAAAAGAAAAGTGCTTTTAGTGGCAGGTGCTGCTAAACCAGATTAAAAGTCCATAATTAAAGCAAATAAGACAAGCATCTTTTTAGCAGATACATTTCTTCTTAACCAAGTAGTGAGGCCAGTTCTGCAGTCCTTGCTGCAGTCCATATCTATCTCATCAAATGCCTGGTGGGTAAAAGCCTGTTGATGATTCTTTCCATTTAGCCATTTAAGCTTTAAAGGTGTATTTGAGTTAGGAATATATTCTCTGTTAACTGATCATAGAGTCTTAAACTAATTTGGTTTGGAAGGTTCTGCTCATGATGTGTAAAGGGAGATACAGGGAAGGTACATGACTTCAGGGCTACAGGGAAAGGGATCAAGAACTGTATTGAATTCTTGACTTTGCATCATATCCTCTCAGCTACAGGCCGCAGTTATTATGCAAAAAAAATTAAGTCTGGCTGTTCAGTGGTGACATCTGAACTGTGACAACTTGGATTTCCAGGAGTAGCAAATTTCTTCACAGAGAAGCACCAAGTAACACCACGTGCCATGGGCGGTTTCTCTCCAGGTCCCAGGACTTACTAATACTATCCTCTGAGCTGCCCTTTGCAGCATGAGACATCCTCCCCAGCCCTCAGAATCATGTCATTCCCCAAATTGTCTTGGTTTAAAGCACCAAAAGGGCATGTTGACAACAGCTTTCTTCATTCCTCCAAAATTGCAACTGCAATGCATCCTGTCCTTGCTGGTGGTTCCTAAGAACTGTCTTAAGCATTACAGCAAGACATGGAGGTACATCCAGCATCTTGTCTTATCAAGTGCAGGGACTTCTGTGTCCTGTTTAAACTCACTGCCAGCAAGGATGTTTCTCATCCTCAGCAAAAACAAAGCTGCAAAGCCTGTCTCAACCATCTCCCTTTTCCCCCCATATAGTTCCTCATTGTGGGGAAACTCATTGCAGATCTGCTTTGGTTCCTCGATGTTTATGCAAGAATTTCCCTTTAGAACCATAAAATCCTCAGCATGCTGTTTCTTCACAGTTGTTTACCTTTTTCTTTAGGAAGTCAGTTGTACTGACCTCTTGTGATGAACTTGTTGAAGTATTTGGGAAAAGCATACAGCCTAGCACATTTTTTCACTGTGCTGTAGCTCCAGGTGTCTGTTTGCTAGCAGCACATTCCAACAGAGTCCTCTGTTACTTCCTTTAGCAAAGCTTCCCATTGTATAGGAATGCCTGCATCAAAGGCATTTAGATATTTGTAAATCTAACAGTCTTGGATCATTAAACCCATTACAAAGTTTGATCAAATTAAGTCTCTTCTTCCCTTGTCAGATGTCTGTTCATTTGGTCACCCTTTGCTGGCTCAGGCCCTCAGTCTGACAAGTGAGGTTACGACAACACGGAGCCAGGCCCTGCCATTAGATCCTATGGAGTTCCAGTTCTGTGGAGGGAACTCCATTTACTGCCTTGCTAGCTTCCAGTTCCTCAGAACAAACAATCCCTTCACTTTGGATTGCCAAAAATAAAAGCATCAGTGTTTAAATTGTGAATAGTTGAATCTGGGGAGAAACTGTATGACTGCAGCTCTTTTTGAATCATGAATGAGTCATTTCCCACACCTAATCTGTTCTCTTCCCCATGCAGATAGCAGGAGTGGAAGAATACAGCAGTAACATTTCCTGCTCGCTCTCTCCCCCTGTTCTCATCTCTTGCAGCCTGCCTGCTCCAGGCTGAGCTGGTGAATTACGAGCGTGTCAAGGAGTACTGCCTCAAAGTGCTGCAGAAAGAAGGAGAGAACTTCAAGGCACTCTATCGATCAGGAGTTGCATTTTACCACCTGGGTGACTTCAACAAGGCACTCTACTACTTGAAAGAGGCAAGAGCCCGCCAGCCAACAGGTATGGGGAGTGAGAATATGACTTTGTATTGAGTGCTTTTGCATTTCGTTTCACTGGACTTCGTGGTTTGATCCCATTGATTTCCACAGGGATAAGTATGACTCACTCTCACTGTGTCCTTAGTCATACTTCACTTCAAGAATTCTCTAGTAGTGCAGCAAGTTTGCAGTGGTAGTGCCCAAAGATGCTGCTATTAATGACTGCAGAGACTGCAGCAGGACCTGGAGGATAGCTGTACTGCTGAAATGCCATCCTTGTGAAAGGGATTCTACCTCTCCTTCCCTGTTGTGTTTTTGAAGAAAGCAGGATGGAGAAGCATGCATCTTCAACATTACATTTCCTGAATCTTCAAGAACAACTTTTTCCCCCTTAGCAAAGCCAGGAAACTATTTGCAGCCACCAACAGTCATGCCTTCCACCATCTCTTTACTAAAGAGTGTTTTTGATCAAAGACATCCATACTTATGTACAGAGCATTCATCAGAAAATACATTTCAATTTTTACAATGAAAAATGTTGCTTCCCTGTTCAAGGATCACTCATCCTTGTGTCCAAAACAATAGATAAAAATTGGGGAGCACATGGAAATTATATATTCAAACCACTTAGTCCTGCCAGAGCAACTGCCTTTATGCTGATCTACCCAAATTCAGAAGGCATCAGTGCAGAGGCAGTGCTTTGGTTATTAAAGTACTACAGGACCCCACAGTAGGGAGATAAAGCCAGGGAGATTTTTTAAAAATCAATTCTGTTAAAATAAGCAGCTTACAATAATCAAAGCACAGTTGAAAAATAACGAAGAAAAACAAATAGAAGCGATGTGCAAATGAAACCCCACAGAGCAGGTTTTCTGCCTGCACCTGAATGGAATGGTGCGAACTCGCCATGAAATCAGGCAGGAGTTGGGCTCTGGCAGAGGCAGTGGAACTGGTGTCCTTTGGACAGGAGGAGGCAAAGGAGGCTGCTAGAGATGACGGTGCCTCATGTCCTACAGGGACTGGCCCTGCTGGGCTTCTAAGGTGAGTGTCCTGAGGAAACATCAGGCAGGATGCACTTGGAAGAGCAATGAAATCCTGGCCCTCCATTCCCCTCTATCTCCCATAAGGCTGCCTGGTTCCATCTGCCATGCTTGGCCCAGGGCTGCGGGCAGTGTGACAGCACAGCTGTGCACACCACACTGGCTCAGAAAATGTGCTTAAAAGCTCAGTTTAGCCTATTTAGTTTACACTATGCCCTTCTGCTTTCAGCCCTTGCCAGAGCCAGGAAATAGAGACGCTTATGCAAAAGAAGAGCAGTTGCAGGAAAATACAAAGTTATACTAACCTTGAGGTTCTGACTAGGCTTAGATGTGCAAAAGTCATTTCAGTGAAACTGCTTTGTTTCCATTTTTACAATATGTATTTTGGTGCCTTTTTCCCCCCTCCAGTTACAGTATTTGGTGTCCCTTATTGCTTCTTAAAATAAATACTAATGTATTCAACAGCAATAGCTTCAAATACATATTTTGCACAAAGCAGTGGCATCAGAAACTGTCCCTGAAGGCCCTTACTGTACACAAGAAAACAGTTCTGGCCTTCAACTCTGCATCACAAACCCTTCCCTGTTATTGTTACAGCACAGGGAGTCATTGTTCTGCTCAGAGTTTTAAGATTATTGAAAATTTAGCAGGGGATTTGAGGTAAAGAGGTGAATGCAAACAGTAACAAAAAACAGGGCTGTTAAGATACAACAGAAGGGACACAGACACAAGCAAGAATTATGATGTACCCTGGATAAACTCAGTGTCCCCAGTTTCAATGTTTCTATACAAAAAAAAAAAATCGTTTTTCTTTATACAGTGTTTTGGTAGGCTGCCTGGTAAAACACTTGGTTATTATTACAGTCATGTTCTGTGTGTTCTCTTTTTCCAAAAAGGAATGTTTCTGGCACAAACCACTGGCAATTATTCTCTTTGGTGGGGGGAATTTTAAATAATAAAGAGGAATTAGTTAGCAAAGGGTTTTAGTGTGCTGAAGGTCTGTCAGCACAGCAAATCCCTGATGGATATTTACTGTTTGTCAAAGGTAAGGGTTGCATTTAGTCTGATTTCTTACTTCAAAAATAAAAATTAAAAAAAAATCATCAAAGCAGATTGAAATTACACAAGATAATTATATAACACTCCTTACTAAGGAACATCTTGGAAAAAGAGGAAAGCAAAGTGTACTTGTAACCTTCTGTGAACTCTTGGGCAGAGGGTGGTACAGCAGGTAACAAAGTGAACTTCCACAGCCAAACACACACCTTAACTTCAAGCCTCCTTCAGCTTGATCCCGCTGATCTGGCTACATCACCAAGGTAACTACTTACTGGGTTTGAAAGATGGACTATTCGTTGACCTGGTAACATCAAACACCAGCAATTAAGCTCTGTTCGTCCTGCTCTGAAAACTCATATTCCAAAACCACACCAACTGAAAGTAAAAGCCAGATTTCCATGCTGCATATGGCAGGCTCACAGTTAAGACCAAGAACTGGCTTCCTGGGCACTTGTGACTTAGATATATTGGGAACTAAAACCAGTTCATAGTCTTATCTTCATGGCACACGAACGACTCTATCAAAGCTACAGACAGACATGCAAATAGCCTTTAAAGCTGCAGGAGGTCACCCTGCATGGGGGCACAAGCACAGTCCTAGGAGCCAGGAGACTTGTGTTCATGTTATAGTTTTTGCCAGTATAAGTTCAATCCAGTCACCTGAGTTGTCCTTTCCTATGATTGCCACCGCAGTGAAAGGGGACCATTTCTTCCTCACTGAGAGACAGGATCCACTTTTCATTACAAACTTACGCTCAGCTATGAAATACTGCACAGGGCTAGAATGGTGCAGCACTATTTGGTAGAAGAGACTTGTGAAAGACAGAGCTGCTCTTCTTTTGTAAACAGAAGTCTGCTCATTATTTTTCTTCAGTAAAATAGTAGCCCTCAAAAAGGAAGCAAAACATGTCAAAACTTGCTGGGGAGATTTTTAGCTAACCTCCAGTGAGAGCTTCTCCTGTCTTCAATGCAGCTACACCTTGTTTTGCTTCTGGCTCCTCAGGCATGTGGAAATCTCCCAGGTGAGTGAAGTTGTGCCATAAACAGCTACCTCCCTTCCATTCAAGCCAAAAGGAGCTGGCAACTCCTCATCACCTAATTATATACTAAACCCCACCTCCACATCCCCTTCTTGGCCAGGCATCAAGTCCCCGCAGGCCCAGGCAGGTGTGATTTCCTGACATGCCTCCTCAGTCATCACTTATCACCCGCGCTGGGCAAGCACTCAGGTTGTGGAAGGATGTTTACCGTGTTGTAACCCATCAAAGCCTGGAAGGGAAAAGGACAGAGAGGTTTCAGTGAGGGGCACGCGGTACAGCAGGACTCTGGATTTAAATAGGATCTCCACCTTTCCAGAACTATAAATTAGCCCCCTCCTGGCATGCTCACTGATTTTGCTCTAGGTCTAAACTTCAGTCCTTTGGTTAAACTTTTTCACTCCTGAAAGTTGTTTTATCAAAACTAGATCCCAGTTTAGAAATACCTCCTTTAAAATTTGGTTGGTATGAAATGCTGGTGCACTGACAGCCTAGAAGGCTGAAGCACTTTATCTAGTACAAGCAAGAGCAGAACTCCTTGTCTTGCCTCATTGCAAACGTCCCAAGCAAGACGAGTATCTTGCCCTCTGAATCCCCCCTCTTGACCTGAAAGGGAGGCTGCAGCTGAGCCTGAAACAGAGACGCCCATCTCACCAAAGACAGCTTGAGAAGTCACAACATTGCCCCAGCCCACAACCACCCCGCTGCACATTTGCTGAGTGCTCTGAGCTATGGGAAACTGAGCGGTCTCCTGCTGTCTCAGCTCTGACTGAGGGCACGACAGAGTTTTATTCTTCTCATTTTTACAGGAAACTTTGCACTGACAGCACCACCAGTGGGTGCAAAACCCACACTTGCTAGAGCTGGCCATGTTAGCAATTACTTGCCCTTCTTTTTGCAAGTTCAACCACTTCTCATTTCCCCAACTGATGTGGGAAAACGTATTGCTTGGACCATGACAAGATTGCCAGTGTCCTTTAGATTGGTTTCTGAGAATCTCAGAATTTAGATAGACTAAGCTGGTTTGGCTAGCCTTCTGAGTAAGGCTATGAACAAAGAACTATTTTTACATTATGTATCAATGAGATTTTTTTTTCCTTGCTTGCTTCCAACATCACATAGCTTTTGCCACTGTGTGGATGCCATGCAGGTGGAAAGTCGCCATCATGATAGTACAGGATTCAAGGAAGGACTGGCCATGAGTGCAGAAGTATGAGATCTCTCCTGGGATACGTACTTATCAACCTAAGCTTCAGGGTGAACACAGTCTGGCACTGCTAGGGCCAGGAGTTACATAAAATGTGTGTATTCTTCGTGCTGTCTTAATACACTGAAATACTGTTAGGAGAAAGGGGGCTCAGCTTACCACCTCCATAAGAGTGGTAACTCAGAGCTCTCTGCTAACTGATGAAACAGTTCTCTGTCTGCAGGAATTTCACTACATAGGATAGGCTAGGCAGTATGCAGCATGCAGCATATGGCAAAAATGAAGATATGGACTCTCATGTTGGAAGGATTCCCAAGTATGAGCTTTAAGGAGAGCAAAGAACATGAAGGAATGAGAGCAGCAGGATTTGACTCAGATCCCCTTCCTGCTTGGGCTCTTTCTGAAGGCAGTGCTAGGGTGATGCAACTCCCAAGGAAGAGGAGATAGGAAGGTGTCTATGTGGCCGTGTATCTGTCCCTCACAGGGAGTTGTAAGCACTGTATGTGTATGTGTGTGCTCTTTCCGTGCAGATACCAATGTCATACGATATATCCAGCTGACAGAGATGAAGCTCAGCAGATGTTCCCAGAGAGAGAAGGAAGCCTTGTGAAAATGAAGCTGCTTCAGCTGACGTGCCCAAAGGGGAACATTTCCTTCCTAGAAGCCCATTTGGTGGATTTTCCTGTTTGCTCTGCCTCATCCCCAGCTCCATCCATCCACTTTCCCTTGCTCTTCATTCAATCCCAGTTCTGAAAGAAGAAACTCAGATGCTGGATATGGCTGCTTGCCAGCCATGGTAATATCCCTTCCCCTTTTCAGGAGAGCACAGTGACTACATCCAGCCTGGTTCCAAGACAGTGTCGAACACATGGTGTAGGCAGTGCTGGGGACCTTGCTGGTCCTGAGCTGACTGCTTATTACCTTAGGGAAGCAAACCCCAGACAACTACTTCCTGACCCAGCAAGTTGGAGACAAACAGTTTCTACTGGAGCTTGGAAGAGCTAAGAAACCAAGAAAGCCACCGGTCTTTTGCAGGGGGTAACAAATGCCTTTTTACCATCAGTGCCCTCTGCCTGCTTCCCCACTGCTGTGTTACCAGTCTCCAGTGAGAGCTCACGTGCTCCCAGTTTAATGCCAGTGAAACTGTTTCTAAACATCCTCTTAATGAAAGCACAGCACACCCTACAACACCCTGAAGAGCTGTCCCAGTGCCAGAGGAGAAGGCTGTGGGGGTACCACAGAATGCTGAACAGACTGTGAAAGCGCGGTGTACAGTATGAGGGAAAACTGTGAAATAATTCATTAAAGGCAAATAAAAATTATGAATAGGCAACAATTCCAAGCATTGCTTTTAGAAGGGTCCTCCTGGGATCCCAGTATCCAGAGAGGCAACATGGTCTAATGGGGACAGCATGGGGTGGGAACCAGGGAATGTCTCCATTCTTATACTGGCTGTGCCGATGCCTTGCTGTGTGGTCTTGGCCAGGTCACTTAGCCTCTCTGTGCCTCAGTTTCCCCATCTGTACACTGGGGATAATAATACCTCCCTACCTCGCAGGGGTGTTGTGAGGATTTATTAGTTAATGTTTGTAAGTAACATTACAGTGATGTACAGTGTTAAGTATTATTAGTACATTGGATTGAGGTATGGATTCTCCCACCTTGTGTTGGTGCTTCCTGTGTCCTGTTTCTTCTTTTTAGAGAGTGCACTGCTGAACATGCGCAGGGCAGAATCAACATCTCGTCTCTTTAGACGTGTTCCAGTAGTTTGATCACTCCTAAGAGTTAAGGCTCCTTGGCTCAAGGGTCCTTTTCCGAAACTGCCAGTAATGGAATCAGAAAGTGGCAGAAACATACCTGCAGTGTGAGATATTTCTCCTCCTCAGTGGCCCACATGGAACTGCTCCCAGTTGCAGGGCAAATATGAGTGGTCTCAACTCATGGTGGTCAGTTTTAAGTGAGCGCACCCAGAGATCCTTTACTTGAAACATGGAAATTGAAACACAGAAAGCAAAAAGTTGAACACAGAAGTGAGTGCAGCAAGGAGGCCTGGACATAACGTAGATGTGCCTAGAGGGGACGCCTTGCAAAGGCAAACCACAGTTGTTCTCCTTCCACCTCAGACACAAACTCCTTTGAAGTGACTCCATTCACTCATCATGTGTGAAAAGAGGAGGAACTAAGTAATTGGCAGGTGTTTGGCCAAGCAGTAGGAAGACTGACAGCAAGCAAGAGCTGAGAGCAAAATGAGAGATTAATACGGGATACAAATTACACACCAAACCCAGGCTCATGGACAGAACGAGAACTAAGGTAGGAAAAGGAAGAAAAAAGGACCTGGCTAAAAGCACAGCCCAACTATTTGCAGTTCATTAAAAGACCCAATTTTAATTGGCAGGATGAACAGCAGGAAGACGGGCAGTAAGATTAGAGGGGATTTTCCAGCTAGAGAGACCGGAAGAGGGGGAGGCTTCCTTCCTTTCTTCCGTCGGCACAATCATTTTTTGAAGTGTCAGAAGGAGAACACAAATACATGCTGGCTTCAGAGTTTTCCAAATACATTTTAGCCATTGCAGCTGGTAGAAGTGGCCTGAACAAGATAGAAATCTTCAGTTAAATTAAAAAGAGGGCATAACTGGTTTTCAGATTTACTTGAAGGCAAAGCAAACCCAGGAACCCAGAAGATTTCCAGCTAGGCAGTCTTCTGGCAGTGCATCTCCATTTTGCCCTCGCAGCATTTCTCCATCAGTTTCATTTGTATAAACATTCTCTAAAAACTACAGCATAGCTGGCCCCAAAGTAGCTATACGTTACCACTGTTCATTTGAGATCTCCAGGTGCTCTCTTGGCATTTTATTTTTTTAATGCTGAATCCCACAATTGCCTTCTTTTCCATTTCTTTTTCTGATAGGCAGCAGAAGGGAAAGGGACAAGTATATGCTGGACAAGGGGGAAATCAAACCAAATCCACGCAGGACCCCCTGACTTTTCCGCTTGTTTATTCACCTTTGCTTCTGCATCCTGAAGGACCCTGATGTTCCTCCTGAGTTTCTGTGATGAAACTCCATGCTCAGTGCAGCAGTTCAGGGGCTTGGGCAGCAAGTATTTACCAAAGAGTAACAGTGGAAGACCAAGGTGCCACCCAGATGGGATATTTGGGAGGGTGCAGTGAATTAACAGGCTCACTAAGATTATCTGTGGATTTGCATAGCCAATTAGGAGGACTTTGTATCCCTGCAGGTGGCATGAGGTGGTCTCTGGAGATTGTTTTGAGTGGATCTTCTTAAGAGTTGCTGGTTTATTAAGTGCTGCAGACTGTACTAACTTGCTAACTGCCTCGATGCTACCTCAGTGAGGGTGAAGACAGGATGCCCTCCTGCCTGCACCAGGCCCCTCTTAGCTACAATTTCAGACAGGTAAATTCACAGATACTCGATAAGAACATGAGGAGAACCCTGTGGCATATATGACTGTGGAGCAGTGAGCAGCCTGTGAGGGGGCAGGGGGAGCCGCATGGACACAGGGAGGGGAAAGTCTGGCCCCTCTGCCAGAGCCGGGGCCAGCGCTGTCTGCCAGGAAGGCTGGGCCTGCAGCAGCCATTCCCAGCAGTGCTTAAGGTGGGGAATCAGGAAATAAAGAGGCCACCAACTGCCCAGGAAATTGGCTTGTTACCTGAGTTTCACACCCACGCTCTTTTGCCTATGGAAAAAAATCTGTTGTGATACATGGAGATAAGAGGACGGGAAGTGGCGATATGAGGCAGAATGGAAAGAAACACAATACATGTTTTTCTCCCTCTTCCTAGCACAACTGTACAGGAGGCAGTCACTATTTTTTTTTTTTTTACTTCCTAGTACAGGAATCCATTTAATAAATTGACTCACACACAATTAACAGGAAGACAGTATTTCTGAGTTCCTCACATCCACTGTGGAGCGAAGAGCACGTGCGAGGGCTGCGTCTGCCCGGTGCAGCAGGGAGCCCCACGCTGCTCCCCGCCTCAGGCAGGCCCAGGACCTGCCTCTTGACGGCTGCCACACACGGGCCAAGCAAGCAGCCGCATTTTTCCCTCTGTAGCAAAGTTGTTATTCATGCTGTGTGAGGAGGAGAGGCCTGTCTCTAGCTGCATGTGCTGTGGTATTCAGCCATGGAGCACAGAATGAGGGTGCGTTGTGAGGCTGACTTCATAGGCACTACCTAGAGCCTTGATCACCAGCCGAGCTTTATAAATAGTTGCAGTTCGACAATAACTTCACAACTTTCTGTTCCTTCCAGAGGATTCCCCTTCACTCTGCTTTGCCCTCGGAGCAGTGAGAATCCACGCCAGCCAGCAGCTGCCTCTGGCAAAGAAGTTGGTGAAGAAACAACCTGTAAGGCAGCCAGTTGGATCGGGCAAGGGGATTTCAAGAAGCAAAGTAAAGATGAGGAGCAGCGCAAGGAGAGAGGAGGAGGAATAGGGAGTACACAGTACTAGTGAGTGGGTTTGGCCGCTGAAAAACCACATGTCTCAGAGTTGTGCTGTGAAGAGTTTGCTGCAGACTCCGGGCTGTAGGTAACTCTGACATCAAGCCCTCCTGAAAGTTCCTTCTGGCCCCGATTTGTGTTGGGCTGACTCTCCACCTCTGCTCTTCTCATTATGGGGTTAGGCCTGTGTCCTGCCAGAGGGACCTAAACCCACTCTGAAAGGAGCATTAAGCTCAGCAATCGCTTTAGTCAGCCAAAATCACTTTTTTAAAACAAAAATGGCTTATTTGGATAGCTGGAGAAGCAGCAAAAATCTTGAGCTGGAATGGCATCCACGGCAAGTCCTGAACTGCAGAGTAAATTTTATTCTTATTTCTTTAAAGTCTTCCCTATGGAGCCTCTGTGTTAGAATTTAATATCCACTCACTGACACTTCTCTGGGGTTTTCCAAAAAATGTATTTCCCCATGGTAATTGCTTGCATAAATCCCAAAGGCTTGTTGAGTTCCAGACTGGACAATTCAATGTGAACAGCTGCAGCACCATCCTCTCTCTTATCCAGACGGCACTTAAATTCCTTCAAAAGAGCTTTCTACCAGCAGGGTGAGGAGACTAAGATGTGTGCAGCCAATATATTAAAAAAAAAAATCACCAAATACTTCTGCATTCTCCCCAGCGCTGAAATCTCACTGGTTTATACTGGAAAGGCATGTCCACCTTCACCACCAAGCAGCAGGAGAGAAAGCGATGAGGTGCTGGAGCAGGTGAGGCCCGGCCACTGGTAGCCGAGGTGACTCATCAGAAATGAGAGCAGAGCAGATGTTTGGTCACCAATTACTGCTTTACTGAGTCCCCAGTGCTGCCAGCTTTCATGAGGCCGTGGAGTGGCACTGAGCTAACTGCCCACAGCTGCTCCCTCCAGAGGGAGAGGAGGGAGGCGGAATTCAAAGGGAATTGAGTGTGAAAACTGGTCTGAATGAAAAGGCGCACAAAAATGGATCAGAGCAGATTCAGTCCACCACCTAGGATCCTGTTTAGGTCAAAGAGAAGAGAAACAAACAAGTAGGAGACTGCCAGGAAGAGTTAGGAGGAGAAATCTGGAGATTTTTAATGAGAGCCTGTCTAGATAAGAGATTTTAGATGAGAAAAGGAGTAAGGGAGAAAGTGAGACAGATACCTGGTAGCCTGGAAGTTTGCAGGCTTTACCTTCAGCACCCAGCAGGAGCGAGGGCTCTGACTCCAGCAGGGAGGAGGTATTTTTGGAATAGGGGACACAGCGGGGAGTAAAACATGAAAGAAGGAGGAAATAGAGATATGGAACGTGGTAGAAGGATGAAAAGATAGAGCTGGTCTTTACTCTTCCCTTCTGAGCCACGTGCTGGCTGCCAAGTAGGACTTGGGCATCCATCTGATTGGACCCCCCTGTATGTCCTGGAGACCCGTGAGGAAGAGCAGACAGACTGACGCCTTCCTGAGGACACAGGAAGGAGACCTGGAGGCCCGGACTGTCTGCTGGACCCCTTCTTTTGCCTTTTTCTTTTTTTTCTGTCTGGCGAACAAAACGACAGGCTGCCCTGCCTGGGTGTGTTTTTAACACATGGCAGCAGCACTGGGGGGACACACATAGGGTCATCAGCTGAAAACCTAGTGATAGCTCACCTTCACTATCTGCTTTATAGGCAGTGTTATATTAGGACCGGAAACAAAGCAACTGAGAGGTTTTTTTTTCTTTTTCTTTTTTTTTTTTTCCCAAGGCTGATAAGGGAGTTTAATTTCCGTGATCAATTTAAGTTCCCAGCCTGCCTGCCAGTTACCAACAAGGCAGGCTGCGGTGCCAGCTTGCCGGGGAGGGAGCGGGAGCAGGGAGGTTGTGCTGCCCGGAGAGATGCCTCTGCTTCAAATTCAGGTGCGTCTTGAGCTTTGGTTCCAAACAAAAAAATGCTGCTGCCCCTGGTTGGAGCACGTGATACAAGGATTCAAGTGCCTTTTAAGTATATGCTCAGGCTACGCAGAACAGAACCAGTGGACAAAGCTCTCCTCTGATTTTGCTTGTCAGAGAGAGCTAGGGGATTTACAGTTGGAAACACAGGGCTTTGCACTCCCTCTGAGCAACAGTGAATTATCAGCAGCCGACCTGCTGGCCAGGCCTGTTCCCATTCAGTGCTGGCAACCCAAAGACGCACAGCCCGGAATAGGC